AGAAGTGAGCCAGAGTTACTCCGTGTGGTTGGATAATATTTGTAGCAGGAATCTAGCACCAAGTAGTTTGGAACTTAACATCCATGGAAAGAAAATGCCAATGAAGTTCCGCACAGGCGCATCAGTGAAAATAATTAAAGCATACAATGTGAAGTATCTGCCATTCTTATCAGCGTGCAGTTCCGACTTTCGTATGTACTATGACGATTGTCTTGTCCAAATACAATACGCCGACAAGCACAAACTACTTGTGTATGCGATGCGGTATCCATAGCTCGATCAAGATTGCTAGGGGAGACTGGATACGCACATCTTCCATTACATAATTATGTGACAGTAAATCTTGCCGAAGTCATTAGGACTGACGAAATGAGGAAACAACACCCAACGTTATGCCGAAGAGTTGTGGAAGCCAAAAGAATTTTAAGCTACAATAAAATGGAAGTGCTCTACCAAAATCTATCAAGGTGCTAAAGCTACCGTATGCCGGGACGCACAGAGTTGAAGAGTTAACTCGCTAACAAACTCAGGGTATCGTCGTACCCATGAAATTCTCTAACATGGGGGACACCAATCGTACTCGTGACAAAGCCGAGTGGTTCCGTACGAAGTTGCGGGGACTACGAGATGGTGCCCAACCAGTCCAATAACCTTTAATCCGCATCGGATATTTGCATGCAACACAGTTGGATCTCCGTTAGTTGTACTAACACATAGAACCTGGCAAACCTCCAGAGCTCACTGAAATCACCATATGTTTGAAAATTCACGAATACAGCAGCTCACACTTTGGACCCAATCGGACCTCGGTATTCTTCGGGGAAGCATTGACGGATTAGTAAACGGTGCTATTCTCATGTCTTGACGTTCTAACGTACAACATCACCTAACCATGTCCACTGACCCGGAAGGAAAGGCGCAAATAGAAGTTATCTTGACGGAATTCAAGTGTGTTTCTCTTCTCTATATGTTAGATATCGGTTTGATAAGGTCAATTTTTATTTTCCAAGTGACATGGCAAAGCTTGTTTTATCAAGTCATGGACCGAGGAATGGTGGTGAGCTCCGTTTCTTTTCAAAAATACCATATTGTTACTGGCAAATTCGACACGAGTTCTTTGCCTATTTCCTCCATTGAATGAGTTACTACGTACAACGGATATCGTGGTGTTGAGATCGCCGTCAAGGAATGTCTTCATAAAAGTGGAACAGTTACCTGCACCCCCACAAATGTTAGTTCATTACGATCTTAAAAATGGCTCGTTCACCATTGTGATGCATCCACTTAGGATACAGGTGGTGTCATGTGCTACCGCGTGAATGACAGAAACACGCAATTCGCATTCCCCTCAAGCGCCCAGCAACGAGCGGAAAATAACTACCTACTATTGGACACAGAAGCAGTGCCTATAGTCATGGTCAGTACTTTGTAGGAATTTGTGAACTACATACAGATCACAAGCCGTTAATGCTAATGTCGGATGAATGGAAGGTAAGTTAAAGAGTGCTTTCTTTCATAAGACAAAGATAAGATCTAACGTAATTTGTGTGCAGTTGTAGACCTTCTTAACTTCCAGACCTATATGACCCCCACAGCCGATGTCCTAAGTCATTAACCAGTCATGTAGACATCGTACGAACGCGATTTCCCGTTTGAACCGAACCACACCTAGATGGGAGGCCTCCAGTCAGTCAATGGATCGGGACCCAGTTCTCCCGACAAGCGAGTGGCTCTTAACGGTGGACTGGCTTTGTGAAGAATCCGCTGACTCGCCACCAATTAGTAGATGCAGAACCGAACAGAGCTAATTCGATGACTGTGTGTTCTGCGGTTCTCATCTGGTTCTTCCAAGTAACCCAAATCCTCCAAGAGCTCCACTACGCTCACCAAGGTGTCGGAAGGGTGAGTGCATCAGCTGGGAATACTGATGGTGATCAAGAAGCGATTCAAACATAGAAAGTACGCTGAAGTAATGTGGTAGTTGTCAGGTCTATCAATGCGGGAAGGAGTTCGGTCCAATGAACCCATGGTGTTAACCGGGCAAGTTGTGGGAACGAGTGCACTCCGGTTACTTCGGTCTGATCGATGGCTACTCATCGAGGCCTTTCCAAATAGTCTGATGTGTACTATGCTATCTAAGTGACACCTGAAGTCGCTACCATAAAAACGTGTCCTTCACTATCACTTTCGGCTTCCCAGAGACTGCATGCAGGGACAATGGTTCAAGTGATGCTAAAGTCAACCAATTTGTTGCTAACGACGGAATTCAGTATATCAAATTGAACCGTCACAACCAGGCTTCAAACGAGTTAGCGGAACGAGTATAGATGATTAAACTGCGGTTACTTTAACAGTAGCCTAAGCTCCACGAACCAAACCGAAACGCTTCCAGTTCGCTTAGTGAGCCCACGCACACAGAGTGCGGGTGAAACGCCTTAGAGTCGACGTTTGGTAGAAAGTTCAAGGCAAGACTACATCTGTTGTGCCTCGGAGAAGGAGACCGATGGAATGTGTGCACAAAGGAGATAAAGAAAATCATCTTTCAGGAAGATGACCCAGCCTGTGCCAGATTATCACAAGCAACACTGCAACCGTCGACGGTAAATGTTTCTCCAAAAAAACTATGTGCAATTCTTGAACGACCGTGTTGTTCATCGGCCAATGGAGCATTGCCACATCAAGTGAAGTGCAGATCGATGCCAACTGGGGTTAAGAGGAGGCCATATAGAGTGAAAATATGTGAGGGACCTGTTGGTGGGGGTGATCGAACCGCTCCGCAGAATCAGTCGACTGTTTGAAACCGGAACTGCGACAACGGTCATGGTGATGGGGGATACCACATGTTAAACCTACTCTAACCACGAATACACTCTGGTTGGATGACACATCTGACTTTCGGCCACACACAAACGCATGCACGGTGTACGCATACACATCGGCGCGCGCACAACTACTTTTACGTCCACACCTACTTGTGATTGTAGCGTGTCCTTTTCATACGTGTTAATCCTACTGTTTGGGCTACAGGCCGACAGAGCACATGCTCTACATTTCCTTACTTAAATCCAGTGTTGTGACGATCTACCAATGGAACGTGAACGATGTAAAGTAATGACGGTTAAGTAGGTGTCATCAAAACGATCGAGTTCCTTCTCAAAGCAACACCTAGCACTTAATTGTATGAAAGCCATTTATCGAGGGTCATGGGCAGCATGTAGTTTCAAGAAAGAGACTATACTGCATCCTTCATAACTCATCTCAACTCTCCTCTCTATGTTGACACACCGTCTTAGTAACTAGTTAGGTCACTTTCGGATTGACTATCAGCAGCAAAGTAGATCATGGTGAGCTTGTAGCCTGAAGGACAATGTGCTGCGGCTACTCTTCTCACATTAACTCCCTTATTCTATGAGCGCTACCTACAGAGAGCAAGCACCACATGCGCCATCCCCACGGCGATGACCACACACGAGCCCAATGTATCTTAACTTTCTCCTCAAATACACCTCATGTCTTGAACACCCCTCCTCTGCAATTTGACACAGTGGTATTTGGTAATCGCCGCATCCTCTCAGCAGTTATCCGCTCTACTCTTCGACGTTACTGTCCGAAGAATATATGCCAGATATATCCATACTGCGGGCACCAGACATGAATCCGGTATTTCCTTGCAGCATACACTCTTCACACCCATGGATACGCAACGTGTGACGGGCAGAGCACTGGAGTGTAACAATTCCCTCGTCGAAACTGACAACATACAAGCGAAAGGTGCCTTATTAGTTTGGCTATGGCTATCGCTAACAAAAACACCTCGCGTGTCAAAAAGTAGTCGGTACCAAAGCCCATGTACTTCTGCTAAAGGGCCCAACTGACCATTTACTCCATTTCAAAGACATACTCTCACTTGCATGCACGATAACCGGGTGTCCTGAACATGCCTTTTGTCTTGACTTTTGCCAATGTACATCCAACATCATTAGCATATCTTACAGACGGAAAAATAAACGTCTGTTAAAGATGTTGGGATATAGCTGTTAGTAACCTTTTACCAGGTTGTTCGTTACAACTTATACGAAGCCTATGCTTTTGCGGTTTATTTTCCTTCCTTCTCTAACTAACGGTTTGCGTTGAATCATGATGTGTACCAACCTGAAAGTGTCACCAGGTTACCAGACTAGAGAGAGATAGGTCCAAATGGACACAAACCCATTTGAACCCACCATGGAACTGCACTAACCACGTACCGTAGCCAGCAGTGTGCAATGGTACGGTATGTAAAAATACAAAGGCACTAATCCTCTGCACAAAGGACAGTTGCTCAATTTGGATTGTATCCTGTTTGTCCGAAAAGTATAGCAGTTTGGCTATTTATTTATTCGTCCACTTAGTAGCTGAGCCCGATTGGTACACGTGAAATGCTTTCGCTAACTCTGCGAAACAAACTGCGCTTCGCTGACGGTCTCTACTCAGCCGCAACCATCGGTGGGTGCACGATTGAAAATGATACTAAGTCTCACTCAGAGGGTGTCCATAGTGCTCGAGCTGCAAACCTATATTATGTTCGTCCTATGATTTAATTTTTTGTTAGTAATCCCTTTCGAGCAATCTGTGGATGCTTATGCGACCGAATTTGGTCGAAGCAGAGATACGAGCTGTTTGGACAAGGAAGAAGGTCCCTGATGTAACTCTTGGAAGGAGGCTCCACTGTCGGTTATCATGATATGCAAAAAAGCGAGAACAAAGTTCTCAGGTGAGATAGATAAACAAAACCACCTACAAACCAATGATGCAACCAGTGAACCGTAAAGAGATCTCTGATTCCTTAAGGCTTGAAACTAGATCATAGTGGTTAAAAATCTTGATTTACGAAGAAGCAAAAAAGAACGATTGGAAGAATTGGAAAATAGCTGCGAATCAGGTATCAAGCGACCTCGGAAGTGGGGCCGACGTGAAGAGCTGTGGAAAATATACACAGAAAGGTAGCTTCACAGTTCGCTAGACAAAATTATGAAATAGGACGGCAAAGTTAACAAAACACTCGCGAAGTAGTACAGATTCAACCACCTTTCAAGAACTACTTCGACTCGTGGGCGGTAACAGTAGTGGTTCGCTGAGCGGCGAGTGTGCCGTGCAATCTGACAAGTACCGTAAGAATAAAACACAACTTTGGCATATCAAAAAGTATTGAAAACGTGAAATACTTCAAGGTAGTACATCCATATGGAAGAGGAACCTGTTGTGATCACCTTTTGCAAGGCAGTAGGTTCGTTTTGTTCAGCTACTCGCGTAGTCCATCTCGTGCCTCCCGCTGCAACGATACTGTTGAAGAGCCATTTGAACTGGGGTATTTAGACGATGTCGAAGCTGCGCCCCAGCGTCCATGTTGCTGATACCGCCGCTTTCATTTGGAGGTAATGGTGGGGGGACAGGCGCGATGAGTGTGTCCCGTGAAACGGATAGATTCGACGTGGAGATGCTGAAGCCAGAACCAGAGTCAAAACACGTCGCAACGGGCGTGGACTGCGCTCGAAGTAGTATCCGTGGCTTCACTGTGTAGCTAACCACCGATTCGGACTTTGAGGCCCCCATTGGTTGTGGTCTTGTGGTGCATATGGTGGTGTCCATATCAGAGGGCACCAGAGTGGCTCGAGAGGTCGTCTTTTTGGGTGCTGAAGGACGATTGATCGGTAGTGATGTTTGGAAAGGAGTATGAGAGGAGCCCATTTGTTGTTGGAAGTGGTTTGCGTCAGTGGGAATGAACTCAGCTTGTGGAAACCTAGATGCAAAGCGGGTAAATTCAGAGGATACCGGAGAAGAGGATACGGTACTCTGTTTACTGTAGTCATTGTGTCGTGAAACGGTAAACCAATAGCACTGCTCCTTGGGCCATGGTTCCGTTGTACGATGGGTGCGCTTCGCGGTTTTCACGGGAACAGGTGAAATGTTCCTTCGTAAAAGCATTGGAAGATGCTGGTAGTCTGCAACACAAGTCGAGTGTGCCTCGAGTGGAGAGGTTGGTGCGCGAGTGCCAGGTTGAAAGGGTTGAAGATAACTAGACTTAAAGCCGTGTTTGGAAGGTGCTGACGCGAATTTTCTCTGGTCGAATGGCCTATAGTGAGACCCGGGCAGATCCGTTTCTATTTTCAGGGGGAAAGAAGTGCTAACTGGATGGGCACTTCGCTCATTAACAGGCATGGTTTCGGTATAATCTTTCCAAGTTGGACGCAGTTTTCGTGTTGATTTCTGCAGACTACGATAACTTGTCCATGGTCCAGAGGTAGGTAAAGATGACAAAGACGATGCACGCGACAAGTGTGGCTGATGACCACGCTCTAGAATGGTTTCTCGAGCAGTTGTGTCGGTCAGAGCCTCCGATGATAAGCCCAGTACGGTAGTAGGCGAATACCACAACCACTCTAAACTGTCAGCTACTGGTAGTCTGCGCTCAAATCCAAAACTTGGGGAGGAAGAAGTTAGAATTGAGGTCCACTGATCGTAAGGACTAATTGATGGGCGAAATTCCTGAGGTGTGGGTATTTGCATACTTTGATACTCAGTGATATTTGAGCTACTAGCCCAGAACATGGGGCGCCCGTGGGCCGTTTTGAGGTCGTCGCTTGAAACTGCTTGGAGGTGATCGCGATCCCGCTGGAATGGCGCAGTTGTTCAAATTTTCCGCGCGTAAAAGAGGAAATAGGGAATCAAAATGTCGGCTAGATGAGAGGCTAAGTGGTAATGTGGAGTCCGGAAGTGTACAACACATAATGCCCACAACAGAGGGGGACGTAGGACAAAAACGAAACAGACACGACGAGGCATGCGTTTGACATTTTTGTGTGGGTGCGTGGAGAAGGGTGAGATATTGCTATGGCGTTCAAAGCACACGACGATACAAATGCTAAGTAAGACTTACTTCCATATATCCGGGGCCAGTGTTCATCCAAGAGTTCGTGGGTTTCAAGGCATTGGATCGGTGAACCACACGATGCAGGTCCTCGTGTAGTTGGTCAGTTAAGTGAGCAGCCTCAACTGTTTGAGCAGCCAATTGACGTCGAGCTGATATCGCCTCACTGATTTGTATTATAAGAGAAGACAAACGCAACTTAAATTCGCTGAGCTCCTTGGCGGATTCCGGGTTTTTATGACCCTCGAGGAATGCACGTTCTTTGTGGAACTGATGAAGTATGTGTTCTTTAGCTTGAATTTCTGCGAGGAGAACTTCCAAGTGAGCAGTATCCATGGCATCGGCCAGTTTAGTGTACGCTAATGAGGTGGACGCATGCTTTGCTGTATCGCAACTGGCATGTCGACGACGGTGACGATCGATGGAACGTTTGAGGGTTCGATTGACATCCAGCTCCTTGCGTTTGAGCCAAGAGTCAAATTCCGCTTCGCATAGATATTCCTGGTCCCATCGAATTTTGAGGTCATTCAGTTTTCTAATGTGTTCTTTCAGCTGTTGCGTGGGTAATAGATTAAAAATGGTAATCATCGTGAATATAATGGACACGAACCAACTACCGAATAATTTACATTTTTCCATGTTCTCTTAATTCGGTTGCATAGGATGGAAAAGCGTGAAGATGCCGAGTTATTCTGCACAACAGTTGCACCCTGTAGTGGCGCTTCAAGAAATGCGTTATTGTGGAACGAAACAAATTACTTGTGTTGGCATACTAACCGAAAGCAAAAAGATAGAGCAATGCGTACTAGTAAAAGGGTTGGTCTCACAGATAAGGTGGTTAAGAGGCGCACTCGAAATATTTCCTAAGGAAAATAGTGTTGCTTTTGTCTTACTTCTTAGCTGTCCTTCCGGAGAATGTTAGTTAAACAGTAGCATGTAGGAATAAATTGCCATAATCTTAGAAGTTTCAACATCTAAGCCGGAGTCTCACACGTAATCTCACCTTCTACTAAGTCTATGGCCAGTGTGTCAAGAAGACGAATCGTGTGTCCACTTCGAATTCCAGCTTCAGTGCCAGGCCAACAGGTAATGAACTCGAATAAGTAGCAAGGATTAGTGACCAGTTGTGCTCTTTTAGGGAATTAACTTCATAGACCTGCGACCTCATGTCGTAGGGTAAGCGTGCCCTTACCGATAGCAATGGTCATACTACTGACAGTTGGGAAGATCTGGCTGCCAGCATTAAAGGGCTGCTGTACTGGCCTCAAAATCGCATCCAGTCGTTTATTCAATTGATCATATGAAAATCATATTAAAACAACAAGACAACTATCGTTCAGGTATAAAAATAGGTGTAGAAACAAAGTGTATGAAGTTACTATCCCACTGGCATGGGCCACGCCTAGCGGTTGGCAGGAATCAGCCATTGCATATCAAAAAAGTCTTCGCCATAAAGTATATTTTTCATCAGTGGGATTGCGATTTTCATGCTGAATGGCGCACGATAGTTACAGTTCAAGCGACTTAGCCGGTGCTTCACATCCCATTGTTATTTTTAAGTTAACAGTGTTGCAAAAAAGACCAATGCGCCGGCCCAAGTACCAAGTGACAGTCGTCGAAGCGTGGTGGGTAGGACCATAGTGCCACGCAGGGCACGCCATACCAGACGTACGTTGGATCGGAATGCGAGTTGCAGTTGAGCACAGTCAATTTCTACAATTCTATTAAAGTTGGACATCAGTTCTCGTAAACATAAATCGTTCTTCAAGTGAAGAATAACGCCGTATTAACGTTAGCTAAAAAGGAGTCCGGAGATGGCCGTTCAATATGTATATGCCTCTTCAATTTAGTGAACCAACGGTAGTACGATAACGCAACTAGTTAAAAGTACCTACACATGATCACCGAAGACGAATACATCAGATGTAACCGAGCGTTCGATACGTCTGGATAGGCAAAAGGTGTAACCGTGTGCCAGCAACTAAAGCAACGAGAAGTTAAGGAAAATAGAGTCATTTTCTCAGTGCACCTTGATAGTTCTTCTTGCAATGGACTGTGATAAGTGAAGAGCAGCCTGCTAGGAATGAAAGAAAGTGCTGATTTTAATTACAAATAAGACCACGCTAAGTGCTCTGGGGCTGAAGTAAGCGTAGCAAGCACCCTGTTTGATGATCGGGCTTGTGTATGTCACGTCATCTAGCAGAAGTAGTGGCTGACTCGAAGGATATCGCTAACAGGTTCAACACATTTGCTTATGAAGGTGGCTCTTGGAGCTTCGGGGTGCTTGGTGGAATTTGGTCAGTTACGTGACTCTATGTGACACGTGGGTAGGACTCCTCTCGACTTATCTGTAAAGGTTGTCCGAAAGTATAAAACATGATGAGCGGCGGTTACGCAGGACCGAAAATGATAATGCTGTAAAGTCGGACCAGTTCTACGATAGATCAAACTGACGTTTGAACTATCGGAAAGCATTTGCATCATTCATCCGTTTGTGTCGCTGACGATTCTTCTAAACACCGGCTGAGTAGGTTAATCATCCTCACCAACAGTAATACATCAATAAGTTGAAGTGATGTCTCTCTGCTATACATTCATGTCGGCTGAAGTAATGAGCATCATCAACAGGGGAAATAAGAGACCTGGTGAGAAACCCAAATGCCATGAACAAGCATTCAAACTCAGGACACAGTTTGTAAACAAGTGGCAATCGTACGAAAATAAGTTGGTATTAAAGAGATAAGTTACTTGTGGCTTTCGTTGCCCCGGGTCTTAAACCGCTTTCATCCACAGATAACTCAGCTATGGACACACGTTAAATCCTATTAGAAGGTGAAAGCAAACTCGCAACTGGTACGGTCTGCGAGTTACAGTATGCACAGTCAAGCACAACGCGGGTCGCATGACTTCCAACCTGGAAAGCGATACAGCTCAGTAACACGCAGTTCAGTCGTGGTAGAGTTTGTTCCCCGCTAACAAAGCAAATTTGTCCTTCTTAACTCTTGTGCAACCCTGCATTAGGCCGAAAAGCAAGATCCTCCTCGGGAAGTGGATACACGTAGAACGTGCCCAAGTGAATGCGACATATTAAGTTCTATGTGTTGCTAGAAGTAACTAACAAGATTATCACCGGCTAGTATTCACCTGCGTATATCATCACTGAGGACACGCTGGTGCCATCCGACCAAACAGATGCTTCCAGGTCAAGCAAGCTCAAAGAATTGTAGGCCCCTGAGACTCTTGGAAAGAAAATGATTAGTTTTCCTTCCCCAGAAGAGAACGGCCCTCACTGAATCAATGTATACACTGCCCTACAGGCCGCCGACAAATCCCGTTATGGTGCGACTGACGCCGCGGATTCAGGAATGCAGCTCTGGCTTTTTCTACTTGTGTCCACACTAAAACAGTCGTGATCCCATCGTCGCTACTGTAGCCGCGTGAGTTGGTCATGGCTGTCTCCGAGATTGGCAGCCACGCTAGGCGCGACTCAGATGTACGCCGCTGAGAAGGTCTGCGACTAGATGCATTGCGAGCTTGCTGTCGAGATCACTTAAATGTGATAGGAGGACAGGTATGCAGCTCAAACCATGAAGTGCGATCTACCTGAGCCGATAGACGTCGATCAGAGGATCATTCACCGTCAGGGTTACGGGTGTCTCACAGGTGACTTATAGTAAGATGTACACGATGAGGTAGATCGGACCTTCCGCAGAATGGGAACACACGGTGAGGTGGGCACCGATGGTTGGTTGGATAACTTTAATCTGACCTAAATAATGCTCTGTATCTATGTGCGAGACAACCTCAGTATGGAACAGACTGTCCAGAGAAGCAACAGGGTCGGACGATAGCTGGGAACAGAGGTTGGGACAATATGCGGTGGCCGACGAATGTGGAAGGAATAAAAGTAGGGCCAGTGGTCTCCTCCTCGCTGACCCACCGTTCCGATGCGGTCTAAGTAGCAGGATTAGCAGCGCAACCTGACGGGAAATACTGAGTTGCGCAGACATAATACAGTTATGTGACCGGTTGTTAGATAAAACAACTGTAGTGGTATGAATCTAGAAGTTGTGTTCAAAAGTTCCACACGAACAGCCCAGACACAAGGTACGAGAATTGGGACGTTAGCACCAACGGGTTTTAGATCTGAAAAATAACAATTCACCTGTCTTTTTGTTCATCTGATGTTCTAACAAGGCTGAGAGCCATAATAGTCAGCCGACAGTAAGGCTAGTGCGAGAAGTACCTTGATACGTGTTACGTGTACGAAAACAGTCACGCCGCGATAACGGTCGGACATGGGGTAGTAAATTGAAACCAGAAGGATACCAACTATGACGTTGTACGTGTTTTTGTGTGCTTCTGCAGTTCACCTGACGTCATCTTTGGGAAGCGACAACATCCCCTGAGTCTTTTTAAAGAACTGCGCCTGTTGAAATGGCCGTGAGGAGCACTGGATCCATTATGACATCCACAGTTTCATCCCAAGTGTAAGGTGCAATTTTAACCGGCCTGGACAACAGACTTTGATAGGTGCTCTACATTAACATGCAAGCTGTTTTAGTTCTCCATTCTCGATCATATGAATCAGTAAACTAACTTGGCCACTTGACAACGTTGTGCGACCGCAGAAAACTGTGAGTTGCGTTGCATCTTTAAAATAGAACGTTTTCAGCGATTGGCCCACCTGGAGGTAAGTAAAAGCCATCACGTTACCTGTGCAACCAACCCATAGGCCGGATGGAAATTTGATGTTAATCCTAGACCGTGTCTTAAACCGAACAAATTGTAACCTGCAGTAGTAGTATTTCTAAGTGGACTAAGTTTGATAGAAATGCAAGCATGTGCCACAGATCGCTAGTAAACAAGTCCAAATGAGGAGCCGCGCTTCAGTGTTGGTAATCAGTTGAGCCCCATGGGCAATGTGATCCGTTGTTGGTGGAGATCGGACGCGGCATCTACCTTATGCGACTGTAACGCAAGGAGTATGAACAAATAAACTGTATGCACTGAAAGCGGAAGAAAATAGACTAAGAATGTGTGTGCTTTATGGAATGAAATGATTTCTCGTTTAGTTCCAACCTTTCGCTCTTCTCGCTTCAGACGCTCTGTTAGAGTGTGCACTCTGCGTTTCAGCTCCGTACCACTTGGCGCTTCATGTTTAAGCCTTTTTCGGCCAGACTGCTGAAATTGTGCTTCGGTTTCCGTTAGAATATCGGTAAGCGCGGTAGACGAATTGATCTGTTTCATCATCGAGTGCAGGGTGATCGGAATAGTAAGAGGTCGTCCAAGGGATGACTGACAACGGCACATCTCCGCGGCAAGCTCCTGTGAGATAATCTATAAAACAGAACGAAAATATCTAAGTGGAGGCATGTCCCGATGTAAGAGCCTGGAAAAAGTCATCAGGTTCACTGAACGAGAGCTTTGCTGAGGTGACCTTAAATAAATACTCTTGGGTCATATAGGCAACCCTCTTGTCTGCCCTCTTCTGTTTCCAAGTTAACTTTGACGATGGGGATGCACCGACATGTTTAGCAGTGCTGCAGTGTTAAAGACACCAAATAAGAGACGAAAAACCATCTGGGACAGATGCCGTCACGGTTAGCAATATTAGTACAATAATAAAAATACCCACCACAAATGAGAAAAAACACACCATTAAACGCGCGATGGCAGCATCTGCACTGGTGAGCTGAGATTGAACTCCCTGGGCGTTCATCCGGATGGTCGGTCGGCTCCGTTCGGGAGATGTTGATGAGGCAAGTTGATCTGATGCTTCTGAACTTGTCAAAGTTGATAGACCAGAAAGTTCGTCGGTGATTGGTTCCAGCCGAGAGTGTGACGAGTTTCCCAGATCTGGTAAACTCGGAAGCTTGGCCCACCAAGCAGGCAATTCATTTTGCAAATACTCTGCCACTCGGAAAATGACTGAGACAAGGCTGGCCCAGCGTCTTTGCTGCTCGAACAGATGAGCCTGAAAGGAGAACAAAGTTGTGAAACATCATGTGGGAAATGAATGAATATAGCTAGATGTCGGCGTTAATCAGCAAGTGATCCAGTTCCTTCACATAGGTTAACTGGTTAGACAACGACCAGCCAAATGAAAATCGAACGCTAGGTGCGTGCAACTCCAATACCGAACCCGCTTATATTACCCAACGGTCGACACCCATTCTCCAATGAAAAGATTTTACTTCGGTACGCACAAACGATAATGTAGAAGACCAAGCGAAATCGAAGTCTGACGGGCACTCACTGTTATCTGATTCAGCATGTCACCTATATCCTCACAACTGGCCTTCATTTGTGTGATTTCCATTTGGAAAGGATTCAGACCAAGTGGACCATCCTCTTGGCTCGGACCGACATTGTCCGTTGCTGTGCCATTGTGTGTCGAGTTCCCTTGTTCCGCACTGCATGCCTCGCCACCGCCAGGGGCGAGAGTGAGGGCTTGCATTGCGGCATCAGCGTGTTGCTCATACACTACGCTAACCATACACCTAGCTGCCTGTGTCATCAGCTGGGGCAGAGTTTGTACTTGATAAAATTCCAACTGCTTGCCCAATTCGGTAAGCACCATGCCAAGCCGGATCACACCTCGAGGACCATCTGGCTCTGTTGCGTGGACAGCCATCAGCTTGAGGGACAACGAGAGAATCCCGCTTTCCACCTTGCTTATCTGTGTTCCGAACTCCGTTAGCTGCTGGCAAGCCGCACGTGTTTTAGAAACGCAAACCTGAAGAAAAGAAAGTGACGAGATCGGTGAACTTGAATACGCATCGTAGCCGACGAAAGAGACAGATGGTCTACTGCTTTGTTGCGCAAAGTACAGGAAACCACGTGGGAATACGTGAGACGGTACAACAGAGTGTTAAGTCTAACCTATGGAAATGAGTCGTGTACAGACCTATAGATGCGTATCGCAATGCTGAGGCTAGCATCAATCAAAACGGGTTCATGCAGACTAGGACGGATTCGGTGAATCACGCAGCCAGGTAAACAGCTATTCCTTCCAACGGGAACCTGACGAGTAACCCGATTGATGGCTCACGATAAGAGTCACACATCGACAAGCGCAGAGATCGAATCATACCTCAAGTTCCTTCTCCACCTTTGTAAGTTTACGCTCCATCGCTTCTACCAGACCAATGTGATCAGCTTGTGGTTGGATCGCGGAGAGGTCTGCGGCCGCTTGCCTTAATCGTACCAGTGGGGCCTTCACATTGTCCACAGTGTATTGCATTTGCTGCGAAATGTGAAATAAAAGAAGTGCGGAGGAAGCAGTGCTTCGGAGAGTGAGAAACAAGGTAAGGCATGTTCACCTTACATAATTGTCATGGAGAGTTTAGGCTCAGAAAGTCGAGGTGAAAATATTACCGCATAGAAGTTATGTACGAAGTGGTCCTACCACGGAAGCTTCGCTGCTCTGGGCACCAGCTGATGATTACTGCGTGTTTACGACAATAGATTGATTAAGAGTAACTGCCTAAGCAACGGAAGCCGATTCGTAACCAAAGACGTGTTAGATTCCTCAGGTTTCGACTCGACACGCGGCTACATGATCATGTATGAAAGTGGCGAGCCAAGTCGACAACCTTGGAGTATGACCGCAGGATCATGGTTGTGCCAGTACCCTTATTTTAACAGTTCAAGCAAGCCCAACATGCTAAGCTTACAGTGATGGCTTGTTCATGATGCGTCTCCAAAGATAAAACCGTTTCAGTCATAAAATGCTACGATGCTTGTTCCTTACCATTTGAAAGATGTTCTGAAGAATTTATCCGAAAGGGGATCCAGTTTAGTTCCTGACTAAAAAGGAAACGACCCAGGAGTGACATTCGGCACCGCAGACTAATGCTATGGGCCCGCACAGCTGGATTCTCAAGAAGCAGTATCATGGAATCGTCGATGGTTGCACCACAACGAACGATATCCAACCCTGAGCAGATAACCGCTCGTTGTGTGGTGTTCACTGCAGACGCAATTAGCGACTTTACACAAAATGAGCTTAAGGTTTGAAATTGGAATGAATCCTTTCGACTGAAGTAGACTCATAAATATGTCAAAATAACCCGTAACATAAATTTTTACAAATCCAGGATAATAAAAAATTTAAAGACCACGGGGAATTTCCAAACACTTCAGTAGTACAGAAACTCTCCACTTCGGATGTGATCCCAATGTTGAAAATGGCAGATGTCCGTAGACCCAATCTAGATTTTATGGGGCAATCCAGCCACATGACAGGTAGTTCAACAGCAAACAATAAACCTCGGGGAAAAGCCGAAGAGTTCAAGTGAAACTCTGCCTGAAGGAGTGCATTGCTAGAAGGAAGGTGTCATGGTCGTGAGAGGTGATCCTACTGAGATGGGTTCCCACAGACTCCGGACTAGTGTGCCGTTGTGTGCCAGAACACGCGTTACTGGCCAAGTAAAGGGTATTGGCGAATTGAACGCCAAACCGGACAAAATACACCGGGCAAGAACGTATCTGCCAATAACACAAACCACTATATCTGACAGTTGAAACGTGTGTGACTTTATAGGAGGCGAGCTTTCGTAACTGTGGTATGTTTTGTGAGCCAAGAGACAAAAACAATGTTCTATTACACAAAAACACATGACTCGTGGGTTTCGGTGAAAACATGCTAAATCTGTGCATGCCAATCTGTAGTCAATTGCGCACTCGACTAGGAGAATGATGTTGGTTCGCCATTTGTGACACAGTACCAATTTGGATACAGTTCCGTGGCGTCATCTGTCTTCGGTTTTCCAAACCCTGGGTTTGGGTTGGTTCTAAGCCTAACATAAGGGCACGTCTGGTATAAGTACGAGAGAGAAAGCACGGTGCGCGCGGATCCACAGGTAGGACCTTTCACTCGCAGTAGCAAATCTCTGACGCCAAATGAGCTTTCGCTCGTCATGAAATGAATATGTTGTACTGAAAGTTTGCTATAAGTGGTCCAGGGCCCTTCAAAAGGGCCACTTAGTTACCATTGTCACGAAAAATATCCTAACCGCTTGAGTGATCAAGACGGAGTAAATGTCACTAAAACGACTAGTTACGAGTAATCGGTGCTTCGACCTACTTCAAACTTAGAAAAGAGAACGACAATAGAAACGGACGTATGTAGCAGCTACATATACAACCACAATCGGTGGATAGTGGTGCGCTTTGAGAGGAAACAACTGCACGTCACATTGAATCAAAAAGTCTTACTTCTAGTTCGGCTGTCTCAGCTTGTTTCAAACTAATTAGCCGAGTGGATGTCAAGATGGCCTTGTCTTCTTGTCTGTTGCCGCTGCTTTAATTCCGAGACGAAACGTGCAAACCTCTGTGATAACGAATGCATCGCTTGAGTGGCCTCGGCGTGGGCGGTCGACCAGCGATTCAATCGATCAAGTTGAGCCTCCAGAACGTGCTGAGACTGTGTAACTTGAAGTGTCGTCTGGTGGACGGTTTGTCGAAATGCACCAACTTCGCCGGCGATGGTCGATTGTACCTCTGTGTCAGATGTACGCATTACCTGGTCAGCCAGCTGACATAGTGAGTCCAAAGTGGTGTTTGCACGTTGCGAAAGTTCCTCAGCAACAAGCTGAAGGGGAGAAGGAACGAAAATGAAATGGAGAAGGAACGGAAAATGTAACATAACCCTCACTGAACACTGATATTCATTTTTGCTTCGTGGTTTACGATACAACTGCAGAGAAAAATCGCGTTTTAATCTCGCGTGAAATGGGCAACTGGAGCTAATGCGGTCTACCCTCCGGTGACCATTTTAACCAAGCAGCCACTGCTAAGAAATGGTCGCTTTATATGTGGGACACTCAATTGCGGGTATAAAGGAACGAGGGGACTGGTGCAAGCCCAGTTGCAAGAGTGTGAGCATTCACGTCGCTTCCCTAGGACGCATTTGACGGTAATAAATTAAATCTCGGTTCGACACCTGTGGAAAGTCCCTGCGTACAAATGAAACGTAAGATAGGCTGCTAGTGGTTTCACAGTGCAGGCCATTATCCACCCTTCATCTTCGAGGTTAAATAGACGTAGGTCTGCGCAGAAGAGGTGAGGCATATTGGGGAACATGCAGGATCGATACCCTTGCTTCATAATTGAAAGGGAGAGTGGACGAATCAGCCGATGGACAAACGCATAGTGGGTTCGCAACAGAAGGAAGACAGTTTGTAAGCTCTAAAGTAGTTTGACATCACTGTAATCATTAGGCTCGCTGGAACTATGACACAAAATAAACAAAACACCTGATGGAGATTCTACGCACACATGTAGAGTGCCACAGAGGAAACACGATCAGACCACCTATTTACCCGATGAGTTGTCAAGTTTTGTTCCACTTCGGCTTGACTGTTAGGTACCGCAGAATCAGTCGTACACCAAGGCAATTTGACCGTAATGGTACCCAACCAGTTTCTTGCTTCCGCCAAAGTTTGATCGTATCTTCCGTGCATTTCCGCAGCCTGACGAAGTCGGTTCAACGTAGACTAAAATAAGTTAACAAAAATGGGACAAAAAGTCAACAAGGCAAGAGAAATGTGTTAAGCCAGGCTATCTGGTGCCTTAAAAGTGCAACGTCGTCGCGCGGCTCTGACCGTGAACATCACTCTCACCCAATGATCTATTTGCGGTTCATGTGCAGTTCGCCGACCATGCGAGGCGGACTTGTCTGACACACCAACTCATCCCATATAAATAGCGAAACTTTTATTCTCGACAATGCGAGGCACACCTTTACAGGCATGATCATGCTAAGCTTACATAGCGTGAACAAAAATGTACAAAAATGCATGTTTGGCATGACAATAGATGTGTGTGTGAGTGTATATACGTATGTTGCATTCTTGATGCTTCTTCACCGCAGTTGGGCTAAACCAACTTAAACTTGGTGTTTTTAAGCTGGCTAAATGTCATTCCACCTTATTTGGTTTGTTCTACCTACCTGACTATTCTTCTATAAACTGGCCACGTTGCTTACACTAATTGCGCTTATCTTCGGTAACTTTGTTGCGTTTGTAGCATTTTTTAAGTAACTTGTGGACATTTTTTCCTTATCGCGGATTTGTTGCTAACCAACATACTTCATATGCTAATTTAGCGAAGAGTTATGCCACCGTATCAGTATGCATTATTGGATTTGTTTTATTTTATCTTGTCGTTTTAAGTGAATGGCTGTTGCTTGATATCCCCGGTGTGGCTGCGCTTGATGTGCATGTTGACAAGGTGCCTACCTGTCTATTACCCCCTACCTTGTCCATACTGGTTCTAGGAGACAGTTGGTCGTTGTCGGAGGGGACAAGGTGCACGGTCCTTGTGGCCGTGCTAGGTTCGAAGTACAGTTGCATGCACTCAGTGTGGAGCGGACTACGGTTCAGCCACCGCCTTTTGTGCACTTGATTCCCAAATACAGTGTGCTTGTGTTTGCCTGTGAAGGAGTGTGAGCCGGCTCCGTTGATGAAACGTGGCTCCCACCCACATGCCTCCCGGTCTTATTCCTTCGGGTTTACACTGGATATGGGGTGTGTGGATGGAGCTGTGGGTGGTGCAGCGCAAATCACCCATGGTCCCTCTGTAGGCGCAGGCGTCCAGTGGCTGGCCACAGTGACAGCCGAATCCGAAACCGGATGCCGCCAATAAATTGGGTATGAAGCGGCATGTGGGGAAACCAAAGTTACGTTACCAGGACATGATCAAAGTGAGCCTCTCACGTTCTAATCTTGATTGCAGGTCATGGGAATCGAAGGCGGTTGATCGGACTGCATGGCCCGATCTAATCACCAAGGCAGTTGCCGAAGTGCGGGAAAAAGACTTCATACATGCAGAGAAGAAGCAGCAATTGCGGAAGCGGCAAGCACCGATGGATTGTACTCCATCGACATCGAGCGCATGGTGCTGTAGCACATGCGGTCGCGGGTGCCTGAGTCAGGCAGGCCTAGTGAGCCAAGTGCGAGGCCACTCGGGACCACCACCGAAGCGACGATATGTCCTGCAGAGAACGTAGGCACAGGTCGTTTAAGCCAAATGCAGTTAATTTCGATAACATTTTCGTGTTTGTGGCACTCCCGTAAAATATACTTTCTGACCTCGTGAACTTATCTCGGATTCTTTTGTAAACAACTTATTTCATATGCTCATTAATTTAAGATTTGTGTCACCGTTTCCTTATGCATTACTCGATTTATTTTATTTGTTATCTTTCACACAAGTGATTGGCTGTTGTTTGACATCCCAGGTGTGGCTACGCTTGATGTGCATGTTGACAAGGTGCCTACCTGTCTATTACCCCCTACCTTGTCCATACTGGCTCTAGGAAACAGTTGGTCGTTGTCGGAGGGGACAAGGTGCACGGTCCTTGTGGCCGTGCTAGGTTCGAAGTACAGTTGCATGCACTCAGTGTGGAGCGGACTACGGTTCAGCCACCACCTTGTGTGCGCTTGATCCCTCAAATACAGCGCGCTTGTGTTTGTCTGTGAAGGAGTGTGGGCCGGCTCCGTTGATGAAACGTGGCTCCCACCCACATGCCTCCCGGTCTTATTCCTTCGGGTTTACACTGGATATGGGGTGTGTGGATGCAGCTGTGAGTAGTGCAGCGCAAACCACCCATGGTCCCTCTGTAGGCGCAGGCGTCCAGTGGCTGGCCACAGTGACAGGCAAATCCGAAACCGGATGCTGCCAACGAATTGTGTACACGTGTAGCTGTGTTGCTTGTGTTTGTGAATGTGCCGCAGCATTTTTGACTGTTTGTAATCGTCAGGAATGTGAGAATAAGCGATTGATGTCCGTTGGTTGGATAGCATTTTCCAGATATTCACAGGGATTTCGGCTGTCTTGCAATTATCATATGATTTCAGGTTCGCTCTGGTGTGACAGTGGCGTAGAAACTACTTTTGCCACCCAGGGCGGTTGTAAGATTTTGCCTCCCCTGAAAGTTGTAAACTCGTAGACCTTCACATTTATGAACAGCCCTACAATATTTCGTTTTAGAGAGCAACAATCAGCGATGGATTTTTGTGGGGCAGCTGCAAGTGAGGACACTTGTATTCTTACAGAGATCGTGTGCGAAATTTACAAATAGGCTTTTCGTGCTTCAAATGCGGTAAAACTATCGATAACAGTGTAGAAATTCAGTCCATCGGCCAGTTCCCTCTCTATGGAGAGAACTGCCAAATTCTTAAATTTTATCTGGCTCATGGCTGTTCGTAGGAAGTCCTTTATAAGCTTGCGTTTGGAGAAAGAACGTTCACAGCTGGCAACATTAATAGTCCGGGTTAGAAAGGTGCGCAAAAAGATCACAATATTCGGTGCAGGTTCTCTAAGGTGATATCTATGTATGAAGCTCAAAAGTTCAAAGGGTCCACATCAGATTTGTATCGAACGAAGAATCGTAAACCTATGGAATACACTACCCAAAGGATTATTAGAGGCCGATTCTGTGAAGTGTTTTAAAAAGCGTATCGACGATTATATCGGAAAATTGTGCTTTTGTGAAACGGTGCACATACAATGCCAAAAGAAGACATCGTATGCCCGGAAATAATGACACTAGTACAAATTCCTAACCGAACAAGGATAAACGATTAACGGACTAGACACAACTGCTGATGATTCACAACTAAATGTTTTTGATTTTTCGTAATTCGATAGAGTTGCACAGAAACCTTTCTACTTGCTCTTAACTACAGTCTCAGTCTCAGATTTTGTCGTTTCCAGAAGCTTTCCAAAAGCTTTCCAAAAATACTGCGAGCTCCTTTCGCCACGGAACTACTCTTTTTCTATATCCTCCTCAAATTCACTAAGTAAATACTGATAGTTATCATCAAGCAGATTTGACAGCGTAAAGAACACATATCTCTTTGCAAGGTCATGAAGTTGCTAAAATCTGCGATATATCTTCCCATACAACCTGCCAATGACAGACATCATTTCTCGTTTCAAACGATTCTTCCATACCCATTTGTTGTTTAGGACGAATTCGACGCTCCTTGCTTATCCCCAATTCGGAGCACAGTGTTCGAGATGCATTCACTGCACTGTCCACCATCTTCTGTCTGTGCTGTAAAAGGCACATCTGTGAGCTTAACAAAGCTTTGTTGCAGATCCAGTCCTTTGGTTTAAAGATATTGCTGTGCGTCATTGCTTGCTGGGAGAACAGATGTTCAAGCAAGCAAAAACAAAATAAACAGAAGCGACTGTACCGTGATGAGAATTAAAGGTGCATCTGATCTTGTGGTCGAATTTTTTCGTTCCTCGGCGAGCTGTACCAGAGCAGTGACGATTTCCGAGTGTTCCTTCATCACAACGTTTACAGCGTCTGCTCAACTACACAAGCCAGCTTGATACTTAGATCGGTCACTTGAATCAAAACGTTCCAGCGGTATGTAGATGCAGAAAAGAACAAGAATATCCGGTCCATTGTACCAAAAATGTGACAGTTTGAACCGTCGCAGAAGCTGTATGTGCACAGGCCAGATTAAGGGAATGGTTTGTGCATTACACAAACGAATAGCTTTTGGGTTAATTTCACAGATGCGTCACTGGACACCCGATTGGTAGCCCGCCATAACAGCAGCATTGGCAAGTCCCTTGCCACGGTAGTTATCAGTCCGAATTCCATCCATCTCCAGTTCATTCAAAACCAGTCCTGAAATTTGTTCTGCACTTTTGCTGTTGATCACAATGAAGTGGAGAAACGACTCAACCTTCACATTATTTTTATCTATCTTCAACTAACACTACACCTCAATCAAGTGATTTTTGTGAGAAACATCGGGAGTGCTAACAAAAAGTAAGCAAAATAGTTGCTTGTCATGACATGCACTGTAATTTTCTTTCTTGTCTGCTTTACCAGAATATTCATAAATTATTTTGAACTTCAGGAGACAAATACGAAGTGCTGATTTTTGTGTCCAGCTGAACTGTCAGCAAACGTTCGTGAAGAACAAGGTCATATCCGACCAACAAATTCACCTTCCTTTATCATCCTTGATATTGGATCGGGGATACGCAATGCCATGTTCAGCTTGGCAATAAACTTGACGATATTCAGGTTTGTGGCTAGACTTTCACGCCACCTATCTGTTTCATTTTCGACAAGTGTTTGCTTCATTTAATCATGCGGCTTTCCTACGACCAGCCCGATCTCAAGTTCGTTCCAGTGGAGGAATACTTGAGCATCCGATTTACTAGAGTTGGGTACATGTACATTTAGATTTAAGGTCCATCAATTAATGTAACCATTATCAGCCGAAAAACTAGACTGTCCCGTCGAGTACAACCTGCAGTAGAAGCCAAAGAGGGACTATTTGGACGGAGAATATGCCATTCATGTTCGCAATCTCTGCTCTCTGTTTCACAATGCACGAAAATGTGCAGTTCGTTGTTAGCTTCCCAGGTTCACCCTCAGTATTCGTTCCCGGTCGAACAACTTCTTCGAATTCATGATCGAAATCTTGCACAGCAGTGGATCCCAGCCGAACAAGTGTAGTGT